GCCACTGCAGTGGCAAGAAAGGTCGCAAAACTCACTTAACAGAAATTTGGGGCTGAATTATGGACGTAAGTCGAGGACTGCCTGTATTTGTAGCTCAGGGTTGAACTGTGGGGTCCCTTGGTAACTTTAACTTAGTCTCCTGTTGCAGAATCCTTGGTGCTCTCTGAGCTTGGTGGTCTTCTTGCAGATGCTTCATTGCCCAACTTGGTAACATCATCAGTGCTGTGGAAGGGAGTGAGGTACCTCCCTTCTAGCACTGATGACGTTACGAAGTTTGGTAATGAAACATCTGCAAGAAAGCCACCAAGCTCAGAGAGCACTAAGGATTCTGCAACAGAAGACTAGGAGGGTAAGATACAGAAAGATAAATAATCGAATAATCACACGTGCCAAATGGACCCTGAGCCCTTTTTTTCTTTTGTTTCTTAATAGGAACCTGACGAGTTTCCTTTGGAATCAGGTACTGTATTTCAAAAACCCTCTGCCCCTCCTGGGCATTTTCCACTAGGTCTCGCACACTGGTCCCTTGAGTTACTCTTTGGTTTTTTATCCCATAAGTAGCTGTAGTCCATTATTCTAACATGGTGCACGGTCCAGAACACCTCCAAAGGAAAAGCCACAGAGATTGGAAATCTGGCCATATCACCGGATCTGCGGGAGCACCTTTGATCCTTACCGCACAAGTGATCAGATTTGTGAGAGGATAATTTTGCTTAAGATCCCTTCACCGGGGAGCAGACCGGGCCCCACATATAAAGGAGCCGTTAAGACGTGCCGAGCAGATCCTGTGATATCGCTCAGGGCTTTGGGATGGTAACTTTGGCTAGAGAGGTGCAGTTGAATTAATGTCAAAGCAGGGATCAAATCTTTTAAGTGGCTACGCGAAGCCCTGAAGACGGAAGGGCATGGAAGGCCTTCCACTTTGCTTTCTGGACTCCAACCGTATTTCGAATCACTTCCGAAGTTCTTCTGGTGTTCACATGCGGACTTAGTCTCCTTAAAAAGAATATTGGTAAAACCTGCAAGCCGAACAGTCGAAAAGCACCGATTGCCGTCTGCACAAGCACACACACCCCGCCCCCCCGCACGCTTGGAAGCGAGTCTTGGCAAGAATTGGAAAGGCGTCGCAGTTGTGTGAAGACAGCCAAGGATCACGCCCCAGGAAGCATTGTGCATAAAGGTTATTCTTCCTTCTCTCTTTCAGGCCTTGCTCTGATAGCCGTGTTAGACTGCAGTTGGTTTTAAGGCGTGTGAATGTGGTTGGCCCAGAGGGTTTTCCAATCTCTGTGTTAGCCTTTAAGCTCTCTCTCTCGGTGTTAGTCGGGCAGCCATGCCCGTCCGGCATTTGTCTTTGCTATGTTTCCCTGGTGATTAAACCTTGTGCCATTCTATTCCTGTTAAATCCATAGAAAATGAGAAAGTGCTCGACATTTTGGGTGACACTTGTAAATCTGAGCCCCTAAAAGAAGACACTTCCGAAGCTGAGCAGGAGCAGGAAACGAATAATTCATGGCCGGGCAAACAGGAAGCCGTGGAGGAGGAGCAGGAGGAGGAGGAGGAGGAGGAAAAAGAAGAAGAAGGAGAAGAAGAAGATATGTTGGCTGCCACCTCTCCTGCCCACTCGGACGAAGACCTTGTAGATAAGGAAAGCCAATCAGGAAAGCCTGCTGAGGCCAAGAACCAGGAGGACGATGCAAAGCTCTTAGTGGTAGCCAAAGGGGAGCCCAGCAAGCAGACAGTTGAGGAAGACAAATCGGACTCGGACTCTTTAGCGGTAGAGAGCAGGAGTGGAGGTGGAGGTGGAGGTGGA